TGTGTTGATGACGGCGTCGGTGGTGACCTAATCCCATCTCCTAAATATCCACGATGGATAGAAGTTCCGAACTTACAATCTAGAGCAAATAATGGCTTAACTTATAGCAAAATTATTCTATATGCATATCGTAGCTGTTTAAAAAATGACTGGAAAAAGTTATTGATATAACCGACCTATTGACCAGATTCTTAATTAGTAAGACGATATGCAATTTCTACACATTATCTCGATACTTATTCAAAATTCAATTCAAGGCGACTATAGCTTACTCGGTTTTTGTTCTTTGCATTTGCATAAACGAAATATCTTTACATCTGAATGGTGCTGGCAGAGAGATATACAAATTTTAACAAAATGTCTCAAAATCACAATCGCAAAAAAAAAAAAAAAAAAAAAAAAAACAACTTCTGCATTCGCGGGTACATTGCAAGTAAGTAATCGCGTTCGTCTTGCTCTCTATTTCGACAATACTCCGCATGGCTTATAAGGACGATTCTATAAACCAGACAAACACGCAGACCATATTAAAAACAGACAAACCAACAAGACGCCAGAAAAATGTGTTATGTTATATTGTCGGTTGCGTTCGTTGCATTTGTTGATAAAGTAGTTTAGTTTGTAATTGAATTAGTGGCATTCTTAGTATTATGTGTAAATGTGCACATTTTCTATTTCCCTTTTCTTTTTGATTTTTAATATTAATGCAACTTTAATAGGAATTTAGAAAGTGTAATGAATGAGCAAGAATGTATAAGCAAAAGTCTCATGAACTTTACAAATATTAAAAGCCTACGTATTTTAAATGCGGAAAAATTTCTTCTCATTTTACAATGAATTTTTACTTGACTTCATTACTGTAGCTTATATACATATGCGTGCATAACCGCAGGGTAATGCACTTTATGAATAGGTTATTAGGTGATGAACTCTTTGTCTAACAAATCTTTTAAATTTATTTACGTCTCATTATAGAAATCTCCCATATGAACGGAATGTGACAATACTCTTACTACTCAGAAATTATTTTCTAGTTTCTATGCTCTAACTGAAAGTATTACACGTTTTATCAAAATCATAGGATACTAACTTCTCTGCAAATGTTTACAAAAAAAGAAGGGAAAACAAAACCACAACAATTATCATGCAACAAATTGTTTGATTTAAAAATCCAAACGCCATAGTAACAACCCCTATGAACTTTTTCAGCAACTTTTAAAGTTAAAAAAATTGGAACAGGTATGCCTTTAAACGGGTTTCGAGGCAAGCGAGACGTATAGAGGAAGTAAAATTCGTTTTTAGCTTCGAAAATGCACAAATTACTTGGGTATGAAGGCGAAAGAAGCGAAAAGACAAAAACTACAACACGGTAGATCCACGCGAATATCTAGTTACTAAGTGTGTGCATGTCTGACTTAAACGGAAGTTTCGATAACCGTAACATTTGCTAATCATGGTTTTACTTTTCCTTCTAACTTCGATTCAAAACGAAATTTACAAATGCCACCTATAGGAGAAATACTCAAGGACTCAAGGCTAGAATCACCTAGACGTTTTGCATATAAATATATCCGCTGTTATCGATAATATTGATCCACAAATTTGTGGGAACGCTAAAGTTGCACAAATGAATGGAAATAGAAAGCAAGCCTATTAAGAGCGCGAGTTTATAAAAATGTTTGTTATCCGCCCACACCGATGCTTACAATAGATTGGAAACCGCGATAACCTCGAAAAAACACAAAGAATTTTTTTTAGTTTCTTATCCATAACTTTTGATCCGATGGAGATGTTCCTGAAAATCTGCTACTCAAATATCCGTCGGATCAGTTTTAAAGCTCGACCGCTTTATCTTGAATTTATTTGTAATAGCGTGTACAACGCGCTATTGTGCTTCGCACCATAATTGGAAATTGATTGGAATTAAATTAATTTTTCTTTTTCGTTAATTTTGGGCGTATTACTGAAGCAATCGAACCATTTTTGCACTGAGCCTGAAAATAAACATTTGTGCCATGGGTTTTGGGAATGATCTTCAAACGATCAAAAGTTATGGACGAAAATATGAGCAAAATGTCGTTACAGCTACCAAATTGCGTCAGTTTTTTCTATATAGTGGGCGTATATTTCGACCTCGTATTCATTTGTCAACAACGGTCGGAATGGGCGCAAGACATAAGTATCTCGAAACATAGAACAGGTATAGAGGAACTCATAGAGGTCTTTTCATTTTTAGGCCGTGGGAAACTTAGATTTAGTAAGAATGTCGTTATTATTATATAATATATGAGCATCGATCCAGGCATTAGACTTGATTTGACCAAATACCGCTAAAAGTTCTCAAATGTTTATCCCACGAAGGGAGAACAGCCCGTAACAGTTATTTAAATTTTGCCAATTTTTAGCATCCACCTCAGCAGCATCCAGACTTAAATCTTTAGTATCCTTGAACTCAAATTGACGACGCAGCCGTTTAATGTTTGAACCACTAAAAGTTATCAAATGCGCATTTCTCCCACACTTTCTTATGCAATGTTTGAATTTATTCCAAGGTATTCCACAATAGATCCTCCGATTGTCAGCTTTCTTGTAAATACGCCTTGTAAAACTACATTACGCAGGGAAAGATGAAATTTCATTTCTCTACAATTAAACCAGGATCCATAGTTGACAACGGCCTTGCATCTAACTTTGGATATAATCTCATGAATTAGATCCAAGTGGCCATTCAAAATATTGATATATGGTATATACCTTAATATCACACATTATTATAATCATAAAATTTCAAAGCCACGCCCACCTTACGCATGCAAGTACTAAGGGCCACGTAAATGAAGATATGGCGAGAGATACCTGTCAACTGGAATTACCCAGAAGCAGATAGCTCCTTATTAGCTATTAAAAAAAATAGTCAAGAAGGGAAGTAGAGCCGCACCTTGCATCGTGATGGATAGGAAGGGAATAGTGAACAATCGACATACTTAGCCGATGAAAATAACACTGACCGAGCATTCAAAGGAGAAGACATTTATTAATTCATTCTTTTACTTACTATACAGTTATTTTACTTAGCCATCGCTGTTATACATAAATTTTCTCTCTTAACCTGCAATAATGTCCATCAATTTGAGATATGCGATCAAGTGACGGATTGATACATCTTCTGTCAATTCATTGTACTGCTCGTCAAAAGATTAAATTCTTTTGCTTTGTTCGTTCCTTTGTTTAGTCTATGTCCCCTCTAGCAACCACCTCTGTTACGATTCAAGAAAACCGTTAAACGGTCAAATAAAATAATGCGAGTGATGTCTGCTCATTCTGAACGCTCGACCAAGAGAAATGATCGATTGCCCTATTCATCTCCACTTATCGATCAGTCAGTTAACGTTGCCAAAGTCTAGTGATTTCCATCAAAGTCTCCTGAAAAAATTTGTAATGAGATTTACTTTCATGCCTTTGTCACTCTCTACGCCACAAGGTACTGTAATGTACTGTATATGCTACACGATTATATAAATTCTATTATAAATCTTGGAACTAGGTATGGGAACTAGGTACTAATTGCAAATTTAGAGCAAAATTAGTTAATGAATACGTCTTTCAAACTTCGTTATTAAACGATATTTGTTGAACATGAGATCGACATCTAGTCTTAAGGAGAATGTGATAGAAAGATAAAGCATTTATTAACATAATGTATATCCATATTAACAACGTGGATTAGCTATTGTGCCAATAATTTACTACTTTGCGTTTATTGCATTAAGAAATCATTTCAAAAAATACATACACACACATATATATATATATATAAATTTATATTTTTCTTTAAGGCAAACCTTCAATTATTAGCTTAATTTTCAAGACTTAAGACAAAATCCTATCAATTAGTGTAGTTATGGTTAGACGTAGGCACACATTTCAATTATAGTAAAGTTTTTGGTTTTGTTTTTTTTTTTTTTTCTTTTGGACTATTAAGTTAGTTTGTATTTATCCCTACGATCTATTGAATAAATACAAACTAGTAGTAGTGAAGGCTTTTCAAAAATTCAATCATCATCTAGCAAAGTCTAATATGATTATTAAAATATTTTTCCATTGACTTGCATTTACTTGAAGACTTACTTATATGCAGAATAGGATATCTGATCGCCCCTCCGAAACGCCCATTATTAGTATAAAAAAAAAAGAAAAAAATTTAAGTCAATTTACTTGCATTTAACAAAGCCAGACATGCAATAAATTGAATTTGCGAATGTGCAAAAATACATTACACGTTGTGGTGATGAGGTATCCCATGTACGCCTCTAGGGTTATACAGAGCTTTCTTTCTTGTTTTATAATCATGTCTGACATTTGAGTGGCGGCCTATAATGTTGTTTGGTAACTGTCAAAATTGTATGTCAGCTTGAGAAAAAAGAAAAAAACCCAAAAACGAAATACTTTAAAAGCACATTTACACTTACGTACATGCACATGCAGCACATGAACTTTTAATCTGCAAAACACCAAAAAAACAAAAAAAAAAAAAAAAAACGAAAAAGAAAAAGAAAATAAATACATTTACTCCAGAAATAAACTCGTTCAATACAAGTGCCACTCAAAGCAAAGCGCGCGCACATATCAAATCTATAGATATTATGCATTAAATAAAAGAATGTTTTCAAGTGGAATTTATAGGTTGTATAAAATCTTGCTAATGCCGTTGCCATTAATGAGTTCAAACATATGTCTTTAGAGTATAACAACAACAACAACAATAACAATAACATGTAATAATAATAATAATAATAATAACAACAACAACAACAAGGACAACAGTAACAACAGTAACAACATCAACATTTAACGGCTTAATGTTAATGTTATTATATTTCTTAATACGTTTTCTACAGCGTTGTTGCATTAATTTTATGTTATTTAAATTTTTTTCCTTTCGTGTTTTTTCTTTTGTTTTTTGTTTTTTTTTTTTCAATTTTTCTGTTTTTATTTTTCAGGCTACTTGTGGGCGCACCATTAGATAAAAATTTACAACCAGGTACCAATCATTCGGGTGCTTTATACAAATGTCCGATAACACAAAACTATAACGATTGCGAACAGGTTATAACAGATGGCAGAAGATGTAAGTTCGATTCCTTTATTTTTTCTATCACTTATATGAATATGTTTATAGTTCACATATACATATTATATATATATACATGTATTTAATAGACTATTGGGACTTTATGTAGATTTTAACCGTAGAAAATGTAATAAAAGTAAAAAAATCAGAAATTTAATGCTATATGACGAAGAAAATAAATTTCGCGAAATCTTTTCATATTCTTAGATAGACAAAATGACAAAATATACGCACGGGTAGACCGCAAGAAAAACGGAAAAAATGAAAATATAATCAGAAACTTTGTAAATAGCGATAAAGGAAAAGTGTTTTGTGCAGTGGAAAGGGCCCCGTATAAAAAAAGTCTCCCTTAAAGCATTTGTGCAGGTATTACGAAATAACGAGAAAGTTATTAATAACTCTCTCTCTCTCTCTCTCTCTCTCTCTCTCTCTCTCTCTCTCT